GACTTCCCTCAGAGGAGGAAGCATATCCTAAGCATCAGGTCATCAGAAGGTGGGATTGAACTTGGGACCTAAAGTCTAAACTTATGTGCCTCTACCACTTGAGCTAAAAGCCATCCAACTCTCAGTTAAGACTTTACTCTCCTTTTCTCAGTGCCTCTGTGATATCCATATAGCCTACAATTGTTTACTTTTGAACAAGTACAGCCTGGCTGCATAAAATACAGAAAATTACATTATGATCAACCTGAAATTGTCCATGCCAAATGCAGGAACACTGTCTTTAGAGGGTGATTTTAAGTTTTTGGCATCTTTTCACAAATTTAATTACTCATTTCTGGAGGCTGAAATGATATCTGAGGTGCTTTAAAACGTGAATCCTTATACACCATTAAGTAACGTTTAGCTATGTAAACTTAAAGTGCATTTAGAAATCAATCACAAAATCAGGAGCTTGAACACAATGAATAAATGACACTGATACTTTCAGTAAAATTTAGTTACTAGGAAACATAAGAGGTTTTGTAACAAAATGTAAAAACTAAAAAGTCTCTATAAACACAAATTCTGTGTTTTTCTGTAGCAAACTGATTTTAAGAATCCCAGCTCATCTTTCCATGTCTCCTGCTGGTCAAGCCTCAAAAGTGTGCACATTTCACCATCTTTGTACTCTTATGTTTTTATCATGTGCTCATAGTGGACAAAGTTATTTGAACTTTCTGTGAAATATATGCCTATATGCTATGTCATCAGAGTGAGGATTTAGCCAAGGAAAATATGTAATCCAGAGGCACTGAGAAAGGGAGAGTGAAGTCTGCTTTACAGCCTCAGCAAACTTCACTCTCCTTTTCTCAGTGACCCTGGGTTACATATGGAAAAAACTAAAAAAAACAGAATGAAAAGGAACTTCTAAAATGCATGATTTATTCTGAGGAAATAGTAAGGTTTTCATGACATGATCACCTGGTTGTAGTTCTGCGTGGTTACCCTGTTAGTCTTTGCATATCTCTTCATTATTATCTGGTGCTTCTTCCGTCACTGCTGAGGCAGTAGACACCAGGGTACACTTGCATCTTTACTTCACGTGTCGCCCTCACAGATTAGGCAGTGAGAGCAGTCCAGTATTTTTCCATTGACATGTATTTTCTTTGCTTTTTTGCAGATTTTTAGTAGAGTTTTAGCTATTTTAACTATCATTTAGCTTTGCCAGTTGACAGACTGTTATATGGTGGTGTTACAGTATGACTGAATTCCCATTCCCAGTTGAATTGTACAAACTTAGTGCAAGTGAACTGGCATCTATTGTCTGAAATTAGTCTGTTTGGGATACCATGTCTGCTTAAATGAAGCATTGCTTTGTTGAGGGTGGTTTCTGCAGCAGTGTCTGATGTGTTAGCTGTATGTCGACAGAATTGAAGGTCTTTAAGGACACTTCTCCCAAAGGTTAATTTAATAATCCAACCAATCCGCAAGGGATGGTATTTAAGGTAGCGACCCTCTCGCCGTATCTGATCACCGAAGAGTGAGAAATATTAGATTAAGGTGGCACGTTAAATAAAAACTTAAGACTTGGTTTTAAACTGAAAACCACCAGACTATATTGTTGCAAAAATAAATTTAACAAAACAATACCTCAAATTAACCCATGGGGGCAGTCCCTTCTTACACTAAGTGGACCAGGAGGGGAAGTCCCTCAAGGTCCCTATACCTACTACAGAGTCTACGATGAAGACGATTGATGGACACTGGCGACCTACGACCCTGGGGCTAATTGGAAGCCTTTGGGGAGGACCTGCCAGGTGTCCCTCGTCGGCTGATCCAGTGCTTGGCGACCTACGATCCTTTGGCTATTTGCTAGCCGCAGGAGAGGAACAGCCAAGGTGATCCCTCGAAGCAGGAGTTGAGATTGAAGACGGTCAATTCACCTTCCGCAGAATTTCTGGTCCTCGACGCCTCTTCTCGCGCCTTGGTGCAACTGGATCAGGCGATGGACGACTCTGGAGCCTATCTATCCTAAACCTAACCTAAAAATAAAACCTTAAACTAATCCCGACGCACCCGACGGACAGTCACGAAGATGGCCGACATGCGTTAGCCGACGCAACCTGCCGTACAAACACGATGACGGGAGCTATCCTATCTAAAAGCTAAACTAGCTGAACCTAACCTAGATGAGAGAACTGACCTTCTGTCAGGTTCTCTAAAGGAATAGCTTTACACAACCTTTCTCATTCTATCAGACCTAGGACAAGACTTGAAGGATCTCTCTCTCTTTCTCTAGAACCTAACCTATCCCTAAGCCCGACGCAACAGGTAACTGCTGCGTGGCAGAAGCTTTTATAGTTTTGGCTCATACATATTCATGAACCCTAAGGTTTAAAATGATTGGCCACTAAAGGATGCTTTTACGACGTGTTTTAAACTGATTGGTAGAACAGGATGCTTGTAAATATTCATAGATTATGTAAATTCCAACAGGTAGGTGGAATTGCTATTTTCAAACTCTAACAGCTACCTGTGAACGTGATAGAATGCATAACTCAAATGGATGCTACCAGAAAGAGTTCTAAATTCAAAATGGAGTTTCATAGTTCCTGTAGAGTCTATTCCATCCGAAATTTAAGCCTGTAAAGTCTTAGTACCCTACCTATAATTTACATTGTCCAAGTGGTATTATGATTGTACCACTGTATCATTTTAATTTGGCTTTGGCTTGGTGGTTTGTTTTGTTTGTTTCTCTTGCACATATTAAAGTCTTCATAGCCTAACACATTCACTAAATTCCCACTATTTTGCAGTTTCTAGTTCATGCACTGCAGCTCTCTCTTTTCTGGCACTGAGCTGTAAAAAAACTATTTTTGTTGATTTGCAATGCATTAATGTAATATACATTTGAAAAGTTATCCTCTGAGTTACTGCTTGCTTCTTCAGTATGGTGGCGTGTGTGTGTGTTGGGGGGGGGGGGTGGTATTCCCATCATGGGAAAACCCAGATGAGTCTCACTGAATAGTAAATAGAATAAGGTACCATGAACCAGCCCTTGCTACAGTTGTTGCATGTGAGCCCATATGCATGGCATTTTCCTTTCTTTTATCTATGTTTTTCTCCCACAATACCTACTGATGTTCCTTTGTGTTTTGCTCCTTTTATGTGCCTTGCATTTGCTTTTACACATTTTAGTATACTTTTTCTTGTGTTTTCATGCTTCCCCTGTGCTTGTAAATTATTTGTGTCTGTTCTATCCGTTGTCTGAATTTGAAGGAGAGCTTGCTCAATAGCTTTTGTACATTTCTGTAGATTTAGACTCTCCATCACAAGAATTGAAAATATACCATTCATTAGCAACAGTTAAGATGAAAATTATTTTGCAGCTCTAACAGAGCTGCTTTATTAGGATTTTATGTGGGTCCACTTCCTGGTTGTGCTGCTGACACATGTGGCAACTTTTGTCCATTACACCTGTTAATGTGCTGCTCTAATTTTGTTTTCTTTTTTTAACTAGCCCAGTTGTAATTTCAGAGTTTACCATTGTGATATAAAAAATGTCCAGTTGTTAAACACTTATCCTTTCATGTCCACGTACTTGGGGACAGGAATCTGGTATGCTACATTATTATTATTTTCAATAATCTTAGTTTCTGATACACATAACTGCAGGAGCTGTCTCAACTGACAGCACATTCAGTACTCAAGCATAAAAAGAGAGCTGAGGTAGTGCTACATTTGGGCTTTATTCCTTCTGCCACCTATGCAGATCTTTCTCAACAAGCACTTCCTGAAAAAGTTTTTAAATTGCTATAAATAACACCATAGCATCCCCTATTAGAAAGAGTTTCCCCTTCTACCTAAATGTTAGCTGCATCTTAGAGATGTGGTATGTGTAAAAGATAGTTTACAGAATGTCAGAATCAAAGGCCTTTTACATATTCAACAACAAAATACACATTTCATTCAAGTTTTGATACATCTTGGACAGGACCAAGCTACAGAGAGAACTGGACAATACAGAGTATTACAGATTAGGCCCCATGGGCATCACACAGCATTTTGACCATGTTCTAAGTGAAGCTGTACCAGTGTACAAAACTTTTTAATCCTTGAGAAAAACTTTCATGTCATTTTGAAGAGAGAGATTAAAGAGGACATTGAACTTGTACCTTTCTTTCTTTCTTTGGTCTGTGTAGTACTATGACACATCAGGTGCCAGAGTAACTGCTGTTCAAGGTTCCTATGAAAGGGACAATTATTTTACCATGACACGTAAGGAGAAGATAGTCAAAGCTACAACATTGTGAGGGAAAATGCAAGTGCTTAAAGTTAAGTGAAAATTCTACAAAAGCCTTACATCAAGAAGGATCACTTCAGAAGCTGGCAGTGAATTCTAGTTTTTGTCTGCTAGGAATAGTTCCCACAAAGCTTTACCCATACTCGCATCTGAGAAGCCAGCAAGCAGTCTGAGCTCTAATGGGCACAAGTGCAGAAAATACTCCCCTTTTAATGAGTCCAGTGCAAATAGCAAGCAGGATGCTCTGTACACGGCAGGACATCAGACTGACCTTACCTTTGGGGTTAAGTTTAGACTGCAGAGTGTCACTTTTTCTTTCATTGTAAATTATGTTTAAAAATATTCTGCTGGACAATCCCAGACTGATAGGCACATAGGTATGTTATGCTTCTATCTGACAGATGGGCTTGAACCAACAACATTCAATATCCAAACAGCCCCAGCATTTGGGGAGGGAAGGATTCAGAGCCCAGTTTTACATCTGGCTTCATACATAACACGGCACAGAATTCACACTAGAGAAAGTACAACATTCCTGATTTCTTTCCTTCAATGGTCTCATTTAAAAAAAAAAAATATTTGCTGTCTGTTGGGTTTTCTGGATCAGTACTGCAGTTTCAAAGTACCTTTATGTCAGCTCAAGAGTCTGCCTTACCTGTGCTTCCTTGTTTTTATTGTTTCTTTTTTTCCTTTCCTTTTGGTCACTGATGTTCGAAAGAGCGGGGGACAGAGGAGGTTCAACCATTGATGATGCAGGAAAGCAGTCGGTGTGCCAAAGAGCAGCAAAGGTGGTGCCGAGGACAGGGCAACAGCCCTCTGGCATGGACATTGTGTCGGTGCTTTCTTTGGATGTTGTGATGGTGCCACGGTGTTGTGGTGGTGCTGCAGTGCTGCCTTTTAGGCATCATGGTTGAAGTGGTGCCATGCTTGGAGCTCAGTGCTGAGTGGTGTTGTGGCACCAGTGGAGGGGGCATCAGAGTTGGGAATATTTTTGGCACTGAGTCCCGTGCTGAAGAGCAGATGTGACATGCCTATGGTCCGGATCAGTATCAGATATGATCCTTGCTGGTACAGTGTTGGAGATGCTAGGAGTGTCCCCTTGACTGAGTCAGGACATCAGTACCATGGGAAGAGACTCGGCTGGGAAAACTCTTATTTTGAGAGTCCCAAGCTGGAGGAGTGCTGGTCCATTTCCTTGGGTCCTTAGCAGGTATAATCTTGTCCTTAGGAGGGAACTTAGGATCTTGGCTTTGAGAAGAGCAGCCTCTCAAGGAGAATCATTTTCACGCAGAGCTCTGTATCACGTTTGACCCTGGAAGCAAGGCTGGAAGAGTGAGACCACTTGGTCAGGACGTAAGTATCCCCAAGACACTTCATACATGAGGAGTGGCCAACGGAGACTGGCATAGGGTCATGACATATCTTGCATTTCTTGAACCTGGGAGATCCAGGCATAATGGCAGGAAGGAGGCCATGGCAACCATTAATTCTTGTCTCTGAAGACTCCGCTTCACTTTGTTTTCTTCTGTTTCTTCAATTTTTATCTAAACTTTTTTTTTTAAACTGAGAAGCCACAGAGGGAGCTGAAGAAATGGAGAGTCAACGAACTTGGAGAACTGGGAATTGTTTTTTGAAAAAACAAACTAGCCAACTATTTAAAAACTAACTAAATAACTGAGGACATTAACTATTATCTTAACTACTATCTTTTTTTCTGCACTGCATGCAGCCGATACATAGAGAAGGAACTGAGGAGGGCAATGCCATGTATTCCATCCATTAAGGCACGAACAGCTTGAGATGCCTACAGTACAGCACAGCCCAACCAACTACTGTAACAAAAATCTCTGACCTATGGTGTCAGAACGCCTATAGTGGAGCACTCCAAGAAAAAATATCTTTTTCAGTTTACCTCATACCAGTACTTAGTGCAACCTCATCATGAAATTTGAACTTACAAATGTAGAATTATGTACAAAAAATAAGTGCATTGAAAAATACAATGTTAAACTTTACAAGTCCACTCAGTCCTACTATGGTTACAATTTACAGTTTACTATTTGTTTACAACATCACTTAACAGTGAGAACAGGCATTCTTCGCTTGTGCATGTTCATTCCAATCTGAAACGTGTGTGTGCATGGAAGTTGGAAGATTCTTCCACTAACAACATTGGGTTGAGTTGGGCATCCCCTGAAATAGTGCCCTTATGGCACCTAATATATAGTCCTGCCAACTCAATTCTTTTTTAATACCTGGTGACAGAAGCTGGAGCTTCTTGCTCTGGCAAGCACCATTAGCAGTGTCCTATTCATTTGTTCATAGTTCATTAAAGTTAGTTGTTAGATTATTTTCTTAGTGTAAGGAGGTACCTCCTCTTTTTCTTCTCTTCCCAGCACCAGGGCATGCCTTAATCCATGGGGTTCAAAGTTTGCAAAGCCTGTGGCTAGCTTATGCCTAAGAGTGATTTCCACACATATCGCCTAAAGTATCTTGTTGAGGGTCATTAAAAAGTGTCTATCTGTAAGTTTTCACCCATAAACACTTAAAGATCACGATCAAAGGCCTGAAGCATCTCAGACAAGTGGCCACCTGTATGTAACTTTGTGATATATACACCAGACCACCACTCTCTTCATTCATGGCTGGTATCAGTGCATCAACCAGCCCAGCAAAGTCTGGGTATGATCACTTTCCTACTATGGTAGATACATGCTCTGAATATCTGCTCAGGGGTGCCCTTTACAGACCCAGTTACTCGTGATGGATGTGCCTGACTTGGGATGATGAGTCCATTTCAAGGACCTCGGGCTGACCTAGCTTTGTTGAGAACAGTGCACCTAGCATGCTAGACCATCCAGATGTACCTAACAGGACAGTGTGAAGCAATTGTGATGGACAATGCAATCATTTCCATTTCAAAAAATGCAGATGCATGCTCCTCTCCCCTGTGCTAAGAAGGCTACATACTAGGGGACTTCTGTGTAGAACATTTGATTGACTTGCAAGTGTCACATCTCCCCAGGGTACAGAATGAGCTGGTGGACCACATCAGCGAGTCATTCTACAGCCATAAGTTGCCTGGATATCCCAAATTCAATATTCCAAAGGTGGGACTTTCTTCTGGTAGCCCTGTTCACCATACATCACAACAAGTAGCAGGTCTGGTCCTTCTGGGCTCTGCAACAGGGCTGTGAGACTCACTGCCATGTTGCCACCTGCTGGTTACCTCTCATATTAGCTGTTCAGCCTTAGCTCACCTTCTGCTGGCCAGTGTCTCACCCTGTTACCTGTCTCCTGCACTGGTTCAGGCCCCGTGTCTCTTCCTGCCCACAGTGCCCTTTCCTCAGAGTACTACCCTGCCGCAGTGTCCCCACTCTGGGGTCCTCCCCTCCCAGGGGACCCCAAATGCCCTGTACCCACCTTGCCTCAGTGATCCACTGCCAGTCATTATCTCGCGCCTGCCTTAGGACTAAACTTCAGTCTTAAGCAACCACTCCTTATTGGCAAGCAGGTGAATCTGCTGCCTTCTGCTCTGGTACCTCTCAGGCCCCTGCAACCTGGGAGTGGTGTCTGGCCAGTGCTCCCCAGCACCACTCTGTCTAAGGAAGCCTCTGTAGCGTCCTTTGCAGCCAGGTCCCTCCTGCTCCACAGCTGGAGCAAGAGTTTCTTATCCAGGAGCCCTTCTTTATACAACCCCAGCTGGTCCCTAATTATCTGCAGCCCCATCTTTGGCTGCCTATCACTTAGCCTCCCTAAACTGGTTTTAACCCTTGTAGGGCCAGTGGGGGGCAGACACCCCTGTGACCGCACAGACTCCTGCGATGACACACACTTCCTCCCATGGGGAGGTTCTCTCATTTATACCTACTGTGCTTGTTCACCAGGTACTCAATATTAGGAGGGAAGGCACTCACATCATACTGATACCCCTGGACTTGTCAGTGGAGACCCAAGTAAAAGACCATGGTCGTCTCCAACATCCAAACCTCAAGTTATTGGCCCTCACATTATGGACATTCCATGGCAGAACTCTATGGAGCTCTGCTGCTCAGACCAGGTTCCACAAATCCTCCTTGGCAGGAGGAAACCTTCTGTGACAGCTACCTATCTTGTCTAGTGGAGATTTTCACTCTGGTCAGCGCAGTACTGTTCATCCTTGATGCTAGCCTCAGTGCTGCTTATGCTGGACCAGTTATTGGCCCTCACATTATGGACATTCCATGGCAGAACTCTATGGAGCTCTGCTGCTCAGACCAGGTTCCACAAATCCTCCTTGGCAGGAGGAAACCTTCTGTGACAGCTACCTATCTTGTCTAGTGGAGATTTTCACTCTGGTCAGCGCAGTACTGTTCATCCTTGATGCTAGCCTCAGTGCTGCTTATGCTGGACCACATTGTCTGAAGAAGCAAGGGGCCTCAGTACCATCAATAAGGGTTCACTTCACCACTATAGTGGCCTTTCAGCTGGGTGCATAGGGACATTTGATATTTGCAAATCTCATGGTTGATTGGTTCTTGAAAGGATTCAAGACTGTACCCTGAGGTCTGGTCTCTCATCCTTGCATGGGACCTTAATTGTGGTGGGCAACCTGTGGCTCACTGCGGTTCCACCAGGCACCCATTCTCTGCCTCCTTTCCTGATGCTTCATGCTTACTCCTTCCTCTCCCCCACAGCACTTTTGGAGTACTGTGAATTGGCTGATTCAGTGTTCATGTTCTGGGAAGGAGGGCATGAGCATGAGTCAGTCAATTTGTGGCGCTCTGAAAGTGCTGGGAGGTACAGGAAGGATCAGGTAAGTGCAGGGGTCCAGTGACAGAGGTTTGGGGGAAGGAGGCAGAGAGAGAGAGTATGGACTGCTCATAGGGAACCCCCAATGGGCCTGCCCACTACCAGATTTCAATATTGCAACCCACTGAAATTAAGTAGAGTCACTCATACAGCCCACTCACTAGTCTTGGTTGCCCATCACTGTTCTAGACTAACAGAGCCACTACTGGAAGCTTTAGTAACATGCTCCCTGCTTTACCTTTTGTTTAAGGCAGAATTCCTGGTGCATACCTTAACCTCAGCTGGTAGGGTTTTGGAACTTCAGGATGTAACATCAGGGCCACCATACACCATATTCTATTAGGACAAGGTACAGCTAAGGCCTCACCCTGCTTTTCTCCCAAAAGTGGTGTGTCAGTTCCACATCAACCAGGACATCTTCCTCTCACTATTCTCTCCTAAGCCACAATCCAGCAGTTGTAAACAAAGACTCCACTCTCTTGCTGTCTGCAAAGTGCTGGCCTTTTACATTGACAGAACAAGACTGCTTAGGAAGTTGTTCTGGTTATTTGTAGTGGTGGCAGACAGATTAAAGGCTCAACTTGTCTCCTCTCAATGTCTCTTCTTGGATAGCATCCTGCATTCGTGAGTGCTACAACCTTGCAGGAGTTCCTGCACCTCCACCATGACACAGGCTTCATCCACAGAGTTCCTGGCACAGATTCCAACTCAGCAAGTCTGCAGAAAAATGATGTGGTCATTCTCCACATCTTTGCTATGTGATCACCCAGTAGGCCAGAAACAATATGGTCTTTGGCAGGGCAGTGCTCCCATCGTGCAAGCTTACTGGAAACCCCCGGGTTATGACGGCCTGAGTTGCAACCCCTCTGCACTTACAAAAATGGTTGTAAGTGTGGAAGGGGCTGAAAACCCCCGACTCAAGTCCTTGGCCCGCATTTACAATGGCACACGGCACCTATCATAAATGCTGGTTTGAGTTACGATGCCCCCAACTTGCAACACTTCCCCAGGAACCAATCGAATCGCAAGTCAGGGGCCACCTTTTATCTAACCCCATCTCCTCAACTTAGGTTTGACAGTCATCTGGTCAGAATTGACAAGAAAAAATGTTATTCACCTTTCTATACCTGTTTCTCTTTGTTCATGTCTATTCCAATACCCACCCCTATGCCCGAGTGGCCAGCAAGAAAAAACTGGGGGTTGACAAGGCAATATATTAGACAATACTCCAACACACTGGAGATGTTGCTAGGAGAAAAACCTTGCTTCCATGCATGCACCTGATTGGTATGGGTATGAATACATCATCTCTCAAGAACAGCTAACAGTCGTTTTTGCCGCATTGTTACAAGGTGTCAGGGCAGTTCCCCACACTCTGGCACTCCAAGTGCAGAAGGAGGGGGCCCATAAAGACTTTAAATATACCTTGCCACTACAGGCACTGGTTACAAAAACTTCCCCCAGAACCACAATACACAGATTTTGCAGGGGGAGGGGGTCACTGCCACCATCAAATGATTTTTATCCCTAAAACCTGGGCAAACACTTGAATCCACCTCCAGAATACCCCAAGCTCTTCTGCCACAAGAGAGCTTGAAAAAAGGAGAGAGAAAAAATAAGTCTCTAGTAGCTGACCTCTCAGTCTGAGGCATACAGATACACAAACAGACAGGCCTCCTGTACCTTCCAGGACACAAGAATCAAATTATCTTAAAAAAAGGTGGTTTTTGTTACAAAAGATATAATTGATTAAAGCATACTTGGTTGCTTCAGTGTGACTAAGGAAAACACTAAAAACAGAGTAAATCTCTGGGGAACAATGCTTAGATGGCAAATGGGGAGGGGAGGCATAGAGTCACACAGAGGAGTTCAAACCAAAGCACAAAATAAAGAGAATACCTTGATCACAACTAGATTCACTTTTCCTCCCTTATTTTCAGTCTTTTCTTGGTTTAGTCCACTTCCATGCCCCAAATTCCCTGGAGGCATGGCAGTCTTGCCTGGGTTTAAATCATTCTGTCTCTCAATTCCTGGTTTTTCTCTCCCACATGAAAAAAGCAGACAAGGAATCAAATTTCAACACCACATGGAGTAGCACCTGCTTTGTATATTGAGCTAAGACTGTAAGCTTCTTCCAAAATTTTCAGAAAACATTGAATATCACTTAGTTAAACCAAAACAAGATGTCTTGTAACAGTGAAGTACTGTAAGAGATCATTGTTAATGTGCAGTAGGACTATTTAGAATTTTTTTTCTTTTTTAAAAAAAGCATCAATCCAACAGAAAATCTAACAGCTGTGAAACCACACTTAAGCTAAACCCTTTCCCTCCTCCTCTAATGTAATGTATGTAGGGCTCCAGTAAATAAAAACATCCTTGTTTACAAATGCAGTTGTACACTGTTAGTCTTTGTGTTTGGCTGTTTTTCCTTTGTTCTCTTCCATCTTTTTTAAACCACATAGAAAATTAATCTGAATTAACTTTTAAAGTGGATTAGTTAAACGGCATTAAACTCATCTGGAAACTTACTTAGCATTAAAATACCCTTAATCTGATTTTGTTTAATTCACTTTGGAAGTGAACTAAGATAAATCCAATTAAGTCCACTTCAATGTAGAAAAAGAACACTTTAATCCAAATTAACTGAAGTGAATTTAATTTCCCTGAGACTAGGTCTACAACACACATACTTCGGTATAATTACATCAGTCAGGATGTGAAACTCCACATGCCATTATACCGACTTCAACCCTTGTAGACAGTGCTACGTTGGTGGAAGAGCTTCCCTTGTAGATGTAGCTACTCCTTCTCACAGAGGTTGAATTAAGCCAAGAGAACTCCCTCCTGTCAGCTAGCATGTCTTCACCACAAGTGCTACAGCAGCTTTGTTGATGCAGGTTTGTAGTGTAGATCTCCCTTGAGTTTGTCTGTGTAGATAAGCTCTTATCCCATAAGTTCTGCAAAGTGTGTCTTTCAAAAGTAGTAAAAAAAATCTTCAGTGTGATCATCCTTGTTTAACCTGATTAATGGTTCTTATCTGCCTCTTTTGACTATCCAGTCTTTAAGTGCTTATATACTATTTGTTTTTTCCTGTTACATTCCAGCTCAACTTTCCCTTTGATATTTTTATACCCATTGCCTCTTCTTGTTTCCCCCCTCCCATTTTTTTCTCTCCCCCCTCCTCCCCTATTTATTTTAGTTCTGGACATCCAACACTCTGGTCATCTGGAGAAGTGGGCTGTGCCCACAAAAGCTCATGATACTATCACATGTTTTGTTAGTCTATAAAGTGCTACCAGACTAGTTGTTGTTTTTAAAGTTTATCTTGTTTAACTTATAACTAGTACTAAAGTTTACATGAAGGTGTATAAGCTCTAATGTTTTCATGTTTTTTCAACATTCCCTATACTTGGATCAGCGTAGAGAACACACACACACACACACACACTTTTATTGCAGCCTTTTAAAGTGTATTTCAAAACTTATTTTTAAATAAACAAGCCACATACAGCAATTTATAATTTATAGTTTATTTTCTCTAATTTTAAATGTGCAATATTTTCTGCAAGTGTCTTTAAATTTAAACATACATCTAAAATTATATTCCTTCCTTGTGTTCTGCATACAGCTACTGTTGATGCTGGGGCTCCAAGCCTTGCCCATCATAGCCCTCAAATCATCACAGGACTTGTGTGGTATGCCGATTACTTTGTCCCTCCTTTGCCAGGCTGGTCTAATTTGACGTTATGTGTAGACAAAGACTGATGTGAATGACAAGCCCACACACAACACGCATGTGACAAAGCAGTACATGCATCCCTAAACTGTTTCCACGGCATTTATGTCCACCTAACTTTAATACTTGACACACCATAGAAGCTCTCCAGGGTAGGAACGTTAGTGGTGTTTTTGAAAACGTTTAATGGATACTGTAAGGTAACAGGCACAAAAATTTCCACCTGAATTCTCAAAATAGGTAAATTAGCACATTGGACTTTGGCACCCTTTCCAAATTCTTTGGTGCAATGTTTATCCTAACCATAGGTAGGCATCCCTGATTCTCCAGTTCTACCAGGGAGTTACCTAACTAGAGAATTATCTAAATACTTTTTTTGCTGTTTTTATAACCTTTAAAATTGCCTTCTTGTTACTGTAACATAATAGTGTCATTATGTGGCCCTTGTTATCCTCAGTTGGTTCCTGGTTTTAATGCATAATACTCTTGGGGACTTTATAAAAAAAACAAACTTATTTAAAGCACTAACTCAGTTTGACCACACAAAGAACCCTGGGGTAAAATCCTGAATAACTAACACTCTCTTACACTGCTTATTGCTATATTTATTGCTCATTACACCTGAATTTTTCTTGAATTCAGGAGGCATGATGCATGGATAGTGTTAAGTCACGACAGCTCTTCAATACCGTAAGACAACTTAAGTTTGCTTCTCTTGGAGAATTGCCTTGGCAGTATTTTGGCACAACCTTTCTACTTGCTGTACAAAGTGACATGATGAAATGGCCCTAAAATAGAATTACAAAAATATTAGCTTGGAATTCACTTTTAACCTGAAGGTTGACTAATTTATTTTCAAGTCTAACTGAAAGCTGCTCATTTGGTATTCACAGCATTCATGTCAATTAGTGAATCTAAGATGCTATCCTTTCATGCTGAGAAGGGATTTTACCCAAATGGAAGTAGAATGCATGAGTACTGGCTGCTTGGATTCATTTCTTTGAGGGGGACATCCCCAAAGTGGGCAGAAAGGGCTAAAGAGAAGAATCATTAATACCACCTCAACTGACAGCATCTTAAATTGCAAATAGAAACTATCTGCATTAATAGAACTTGTTTTAGTATCAAGCAAACAGTATTTCAAATTTCTCCTCTGTTTCACTCACAGCAAGAGAAGAAAATAAGAAACTTCACTGAAAAGAAGGAATTTTACTGGTTAAGTGATATTTGCCTGATACATTTTAAAAATTCAGAGGCAAGAACAAGAGTCTCAAAAGAGGCACTTTATAAAAAAAAAGCAGGTTATATTGGTCAAACCTCACAGATTTCAATAACTTAATTTGCTTGTTCACAGATATATTTTCTTCTCAGCTATACTATAAACTATTTCAAGACCCTCTAAAGAAAAATTTATCAATTTGCATTCTGTGCTTTAGAATAGGATAAATATTGCTTATTTTAGTTATTTGGGACACCAGATATATCTCTAACAATATTTCTCTCGGGTTTAAATGAAAACATTTCTGAAATCAATTTGATGTCAAGCATGGATCTGTTTTATGTCACTGGTATCGCATAATAGAAAGGGATACAAGTCAATCTTGGTCAAATATATAAAAAAAAATGTTGCCCTGAAGGAACAATTCTTATAGATGGTAATAAAAAAACTAACCTATTTTTTTTAAATAGACATAAAACATGACCATGTGTTATTTTGTTCTGCTGCCAGAAGCAGAAATTATGTAATAAAACACAATGTAACCTTTGAAGGGTGTTACCAGAATTATGTAGATTAGTTTTGATTATTACAAATACAAAAATAATAATTTTCACTCCAAAAGAAAAAAGGACAAAATGTATGTATACAACAGATGAAAAATGTCAATTTTTAGCCTTATCAACATGTAATTACAAACTATGGAGAATAACAAGTCCTGTCCCCTTCACGACAATCATACATCTGAAAATGGAGGTGAGTTTGTATTGAGTTAATTATTCTGAGAGAGAAAAATCTAGAAACAGTGAAGATCTAAAAACACATAGAAAACATGTTTAGGTTTGCTATGACAAATCTTCATGGAGATAAGACCAAGACCTACATCTACTTTGATTATCCTTGAATTTATCTGAAGTAGAAAATGGCTACATCACTTTTGGGTAGCAGTTAGAAGTGGGAAACCTGATAATCCTATCAAATGTCAACAACAGTACTGAGAAAAGGGAATCTGTCACATGCTGACTCCTTTACTTAATAAACTCTTTTTACTGGTTGGAAAGTTTCTATGGCAAGTTCCTGTTGATTTGTTTGGAAAATTTCAGAAGCTGGAATGGCCAGCCTGCATTTCATGGAGGCATACTGACCAACCATGCATTCGTTATTTATGAAGTTTAAAGTAAGAAAGATTTATCTGTTTGTGATACAGAAAGTATAGTGATCTATGGTGAAGATGTGACTACCAGATGCTTCAAAAATATATTAAAATCTATTTTAAATTTTGGAAAATAGCTTACAAAAATATCTTCACTTACAGTATATTATACAAAAACCTGTCTAGCATGGGAGTTTATAGTAGAAAATTATCATTGAGGATTACAAAAGGGATTAGTGATCTATACTTATTTGCAATCTGAGGGCATTATAGCTCGCTGCCCTGACAAGTGAACTCTTTCCAGTAATGTAAGATTTCCAGTATAAATAAAACCTTTACTTTTTTAAAAAAAGTTACCACAGAGCTGTGGCCCAAGGAAAAAGAATATGCCAAGTCAGAGGGCAGAAATAACTATAGGTAGTAAACGCTGTTGAACAGCTACATACAGCAGTGTCTACGATTATTTCTGGTGCCCATCCCATCAGTTTCATACCTATCAGAAGAGGAAGTGACATCATTGGGTAGTTCCTTTGTAATCAAATTATGGGCAAAAGCAACTATTTTTGTTCTAACAATTGGAATTTGTTTAAATCCACGGGTTTAATAAATACAAATATACACATTTGTATACATTAATGTAGTCACATGTGTATAATTACATATATATTATATACACAAATACATACAGTATATGCTCCTTTTGATAACACTATCGAGATATTCTGAGTGTTACCAACAGGTGTTAATGAGAATGTAATGAGGTTAAATATAGCAATGCAGCTCAGAACCAAGGCATTGCTTTTCTATATTAAAGAATTATATCAGATAGTTGTAAGAAAAATACTGCCCTAGATTTCCCCATGTGTAACCAACTAATATCAATGGCTTGCATGAGGTGTAAGGTCAAAGCAGAATCTAGCCCTGCGTAGAATTGGAGAATTTTTGAATTTGTGAACGTTTATGCTGTGTTTGGGTGTAACATTATATTGTAGATAACTAATAAAAGAGGTTGTGTAATTTAACTCCTTAGCCAGCCCCAAAGTAGACCATATTAAACTTTTGATGCTTAATTGTCAACATACATTTGCTTAGAGTAAAGTGAGTGTGGTTTATATCCAAATGACTCCATGATTTCTGTCTGTATAAATGAAAAAGCTAGATAGAGATTGGTTACTGGGGACTTGCATACCTTTTTTCTTAAAAACAAAAACAACAAAAAACCCCACCTCTGCAGCAGGTAAACACAGCTTACCATGCAAAGGGCCGATTCAGGATATCTATTCCCTTCTCCTCTACATCTCAAAATAAAGAAACTCAAAACAAGCTACAGTCAAATGGATCACAAAAATGTCTTAACACAGTTTCAACACAAACTAGTCAATATATTCCAAGTTTTAAAGTGTTAACATACAGAAACGTGAAATGTAGAACATAAAATGTAAACTGTACACTAAGATGGATTTTAAAAACAGGCATGAACTTGAGCACACAATGAAAAAATGAGGGCAATAGAGATGTCATGACATTCATTAGAGTGGCTTTTTGTTCATTTCAAATTACAGCACATCTCATGCACCACACATTTTACAATTTTACATACTTTACATGATATAGAAATATTTAAGTTAAAATTTCTTTTACCGATATATTGTACTCAAATTTCAAATCCTGAGAAAAAAATAGAAGTGTGGTTATGTATGTGCACTACATGTTCCATGCCACCAACACATATACCACAGTACATTAGAAAGTCCAGGGATAGAAGAATTACATGCTAGGAGTGCTATTCCTGAAAACTAGTCTCTTTTCCTTGTTTGGGAGAGACATTAGGGAACAATTTCTGATCTATACTACCTCACAGTATGTGTGTGTTTTTATATATATACACATATACACACACACACAAAAGTATAAAGATTTGTAATGACTGCAAACTTGCACTGAAAGTATTTGTCAGTTTCAATACCAGATGCAACACGGTGATTTAAGTTGAACATCAGGAAGAAAAGCAATAACTGGCTATCCTGCAAACAGTACTCGCTCAAATATTTCACAGTTAGTAATTCAGCCTCAGGTTAGTCCCAAACATTACTTAAAACATGTGCATACTTCCTAGTAGCACAGCTACCCACGGGCTAACAAGAATGTTCCTATTACAACTTTCTGTGACTTTCTGCGGTGCAAAGTACTTCCCCATGCAAACGAACATGAAATCTAAAACTGACAGATGCACATTTATTGCAGATGCAAATTCCAACTGCTTTCTACACTTTCATATTTCTCTAAATGTTCAGACCAGATTCCAGACTTAAGCCACCGAGTTTCATTAACCATAATTATGATGTTTAACATGCTGTGATCTTGTGAACATTTTTTAAGCAAGTTAGTAGGCGATGATACGGACTTCCTGGTGATGCTACCATCTCAAACACAGACTGAAAGGCCCTTCGGTCTAGTTCCTCATCTATCTGGTGCCTGTAAAAGTCTATTGCCACCAAACAGAAGAGGTTAATGTCCACTTGCTCCGATTTTCCCATTCTGCTGATAATATGTGGAAGACTGAGGAAGCAGTTAAGGATATAATAATGACAAACAAAATTTTAGTTTTACACAAAATATCACTGACTTAAGCATTCCCAGATAAATTATGTATTTTTTTCATGACTGTGTAATACTAAGTGCAAGACATCTGCAAGTAGTAATTAAATTGCCATTGCAAAAGCCTTATTTTTAGTTGTAGTTCTCAGGATAACTTCATGCAACTTCCCCATTATTGTTAGCTTAAAATGAGTTTGTAGCAATACTTTCCACTTGTTAGTATATATTAGCAGAAACAACCCTTGTCACCAATATAGTTCTGCACTGCTTAAAGATAAACAGAACTGCCAATGCACAGAGGCACTAAGAAAATGTAAATCATGGTGGAGAAATTTTCATTTTAAGACTGCTTATCAAATGTCATCTTTAGGGCTGATTTACCTGAGCTGCAGTTCTTTTTAAGGAGAGAAGATTTTTTTATTATATTGCATGTTCATTGGGCATTGCCACTGCATCCTTCCACGAGCTGTTCCAACTACTCTGGAGAATTATCCTATTGCCAGTTTAAAGACTCTTATAACTTGCTGCCTTGAAGAGGAATGTTTGCCAGGTATGGGTTTTTGGGAGACATGGGGGAAGACAGAACTACAAGGAGGGAATGAAAGTTGATGACGATGTTCTTTTTACAGTGCTTTACATGGCACAATGCTTATGACTGATTTTTAAAAGGAAAATAATAAAAAGCCACCTGACAATATCTAAACATAATAAAAGTAAAAAGTTCTAAACATAATAGGATCATTGATCATTTGTTCCCTTCAATAAAATTCTCCATGTCTCACACCTGTTTCTCAATCTTTGCATTAAAACTTTACACCAGGGTGGCCAACCTATTTAACAAAGAGAGCCGAAACAGTGTTGACAGAATTATCAAGCAAAAAACAAAAAATAAAAAAACAACATAAAGGAGACTTAAAGATAAACAGAACTTCCAATGCACAGAGGCACAAAGAAAATGTAAATCACATGGTGGAGAAATTTCCATTTTAAGACTGCTTACCAAATGTCATCTTTGGGGCTGATTTACCTGAGCAGCAGTTCTTTTTAAGGAGAGAAGACCTCTGCTATCTTGAGCACCATTTTGAAAACTCTGCAGCTCCAAACCGGTAAACACAGGGAAACTGGGGAAGGGGAGCCGGAGCCATTTGGGGGGGGGGCCCGCAGGAGCAGCCTCCCCATGCGGCTTGCGAGCGCGGGTTGGCCACGGCTGCCTTAAACCACTAAAAAAAGCTTTTCCATAGTAATGAAAGGGTAGATGTAAGAATCTCCTATATTGCTGAAACTGACGTATTGCTAAATAATTCAGTTTACATCTGATAGTAAAGTTAAACCATTATGGTACCAATGTTGAACTATTACAACTTGTACCGACTGGCATTAACTCTTAGCAATTCAAACTACTGAGTTGTACATCAAGACCAGAAGGGACCATCATGACCATCCAGTCTAATTTCTCGTATAATTCAGGTAACACATTTTAGCCTAATAATTGTATATTAACTATCGAATAGACATGAAGAATGAACTGTGCCTTTGTTTCTGGAAATGGGCCCACTTGGTGAAATTGATGCCCTGGCAGGGTGTTGCGGAAAAATACTGCTGACCTAAGTTCCCTATAAGCTGTGCAGCTGAGTCGCTTTTGCAGCTGTCTATTTAGCCCTGCACAGGTGCTAAATGAAGCCCCGCGGGCCAGGGACCTGTGGCAGCTGGGAATGGGCTACCACACCCCCAAACTAGCCCACCCTTCAACCAGATGGGGCTGCTGGAGTCCAGCCCAGACACTGCCATGGGCACTTTGGCCCCCCAACCTGGCTTCTGCCATGGGAAGACCGGCCCCAGCACCCATCCTGCTTGCCCCCTTTCCACCCTGCCCCGGAAACAAGGCCCTGGCTTCCATCCAGGACCACCATCCGGTCCCTGGGTGTTCCTTCACAGGTGCTGCGGTGGGGGTGAGGGAAGGGGGAGTCCTCTCTTCTTGCAGTAGCCCTAAAGGACCATCCTTCAGCCCAAACCCAGCCCTACCGGGAATGTCAACATGTAGGCAACTACACAATTTAACCAATAAAACTGGGCTTATTGGTTAATCCTGTTGACCACATACATTTTCCACCCCCTTGCTGCCTCTAGATCTGCATTTTTAACCGGCTCTCGCGTGCCACCCCACACTGCTGCCTCCAATATAGCCCCGGGAGTGGGGCTGGGAGCACGCTGGTTGACGGCCCCGCCTCTGAGGATTATCAAATAGCTGTGTAACCACTAAAATTTTATGTGGCTACAACAACTAGAAGTTACTCACCTTCGTGCAGTAACGATGGTTCTTCGACATGGGTCCCTGTGGGTGCACCACTCATGGTGTCAGGCTCGTCCCAGCGCTGCAGCTCGGAGGCTTTGCATAGCTGTTTTCAGCCAGGTCATGCCTGTGCGGTGTGCAGCATGCGCCGTTAGCACTCTGATCTTTGTGCACACCTGGCTTACCTGTCAGTTCCTCTTACCATTCTGCATCTGTAAGGATACAAAAGAAAAACAACTCCAGAACGGGGAGGAAGGGTGGAACATGGAGCACCCATGGGGAACCATCTCGAAGAACCATCTTTACTGCACAAAGGTGAGTAACTACTTCTTCGAGTGGTCCCCATAGGTGCTCCACTTATGGTGACTTCGTAGCAGTACTCGTGTTGTGTTCCTGGAGTTCAGGCCTGTCAATGACCTAAAGTACTGCTGAGGTAACCGAAGACTGAAGCCATCCACTGCCGCACTATTGCATAGCGATTCATAAAGATCAAACTTGAGGACCATGTGGCTGCCCTGCAGATTCCCGGCAGTGAGATTCCTCTAACACACACCATGGATGTTGCCACTGCCCTGGTGGAGTGTGCCCTAGGTATAGTCTGAAGGGGCTTGTTGCGCATCGAGTGACACGTGGTGATGCAAGAGACTATGATGTTGGACAGATGCTGGGAAGACCATGGATTGCCCTTGGAGCAGTCCACAATGGATACTATTAGGTGCTTGGTCTTGCTCCAGGTCCGTGTTCTATCTATATAGAATGCTAAAACTCGACGTACGTTGAGGGTATGGAGTAGCGAGTCTTGAGTCGAGGCATGCAGCTTCGGGTAAAAGACAGGTAAAATGATGGGTTCATTGATATGAAATCGTGTTGCGATCTTAGGGATAAAGGCTGGATGGGTACGTAATGTGACAGTCCTTGGTGAAAACCGTGAAGGGTGGCATTGCCATTAACGCTGCCAGTTCGCTCATCCTACGGGCGGATGTAATTGCCAATAAGAATACCACTTTTGTGTTGAGCGTCAATAACGACGTGGTGGCTAGTGGCTCAAAGGGTGGATACATTAATGTGCCAAGGACCAAATCCAAGCTCCAAGTGGGGGGGATGGGTCTGTTTGGGGGGTTTGAGATTAGCTATTCCCTTAAGCAGTCCCTTGGTCATGGGATGAGCAAAGATAGAATGGCTTTCGGTGGTGGTAATGGAAGGCGGTGATTACTGAGGGATGAACTCTCAGCGTAGAGATCAAAAGACCTGCCTGGTCTAGGGAAAGGATATAATCAAGGATTTCATGCATTTCCAGTTTTCCCACACCAAGCCACAAATCTCCTCCATTTTGCCAGGTAAGTCCTTCTTGTAGTTTGTCTTCTACTGTTCAACAGTACTGTCTTCACTGTCTCTGAACAAAGTTGCTCTTCTACTCTGAACCAGCTATTAGCCATGCTGCCAGCTGGAGGGTCTCAGGTCTGGGGTGTAGCAGAGATCCCTGGTTCTGGGAGAGGAAGTCTGGGAGGAGTGGTAAGGGACGTGGTGGTAACAGAGACATCCTGTGAAGGAACGGGTCCCACGTCTGTCTTGCCCAAGCTGGTGCTAAGAGTATGACTTAGGCTGAGTCTTCTCTGATTTTCTGTATTACTCTTGGAATAAGTACCATTGGTGGGAATGCATAGAGGAGAGGCATTTCCCAACGAATTAACAGTGTATCTCCAAGTGAGCCTTTGCCCATGCCTCCCCTGGAGCTGTAAAGTTGATACTTCCTGATCCCATTAGTCGCGAAGAGGTCTATTTGTGGTGACCCCTAGCCCGGAAGATGTTGTCCAGGACATTGGGGCAGATTTCTCACTCATGGACTTGAGAGAAGAATCTGCTGAGAGCATCCGCCATGATTTTGCTTGTGCCTGGTAAGTAGGATGCTACCAGAGTGATGCAATTTCTTACACACCAGTTCCATAAGTGGACTGCCTGTGTGCAAAGTAATCGGGATCGAGCTCCTCCTTGTCAACTGAAATAATACATAGTCGCTATGTTGTCTGTAAGCACTCAGATGGTAGTATCAGTGATGTGCGTGTGGAAGTGTTTGCAAGCAAGGAACACGGCTTTTAACTGTAGGAGGTTGATATGGGAAACTGCCTCCGCTGCTGACCATCTGCCTTGCACAGACATGCCATCGATGTGTGCACCCCCACCCAAAAGGGAGGCATCTGTAGTCAACTGGGTCGATGGCTATTGACATTTGAATGGGACCCCTGCTAGCAGATTTCTGCAGTTCAATCACTAACTAGGTATCTGCAAACTAAAGTAGTTGGAGTTATCGCCTTGTGTGTGGAGTGCTTCGTTGGAGTATACGCCGATACCAGCCAGTGTTGGAGACAGCAAAAGTAAGGTCTCGCATGTTGAACTACAAAGGTAGTGGCCGCCATATGTCCCATGAGGCAGAGACAGGTAAGTACAGTGACTGTAGGGGCGTGGATGACTACCATGGCCAGCTCCTGTATAACTTGGAAGCCCTCTTGAGGTAAGTATGCATGGCCGTGGTGGAATCTAAACATGCACCTATGAAATTTATACTCTGCATAGGATCTGGAGACAACTTTTGTTTGTTGATTATGAGCCCAAGCAATAAAAATGTCTGCCTAGTTACTGTCACCTCTGTAGTACCTCGTCTCGACCTGACTTTTATAAGGCAGTCATCCAAATACAGAAATATGATCATGTCTCTGTGCCGTAGGTGAGCCACTACTACCGCGAGGGTTTTTGAAAACACCCTGGGAGCCGATGCGAGTCCAAACAGTAGCACTCGATATTGAAAATGATCGTCTCTGATAGTGAAACGGAAAAAACGTCTCAGCTGGATGTATCGCCAGGGCTCGACAAATAATGCAATCTACTCGCCTGTGGCGAGTAGATTGCAACCCGGAAGAGCTGGGTTTGGGCGATCTGCGCATGCACAACTGGTGAGCGGGGTTCGCCGCGGTTCGGTGATCCCTGTGTATCACTATGTGAAAATACACATCTTGCAAGTCGAGGACTGCGAACCAATCGTCCTTCTTTAGTGACAGTATTATCTTGGAAAGGGTCACCATCTTGAACCTTTGATGGCAGAGGTATTTGTTTAACTTCCTGAGGTTGAGGATGGGCCTCCATCCTCTGGTCTTTTTCTCTGTGAGAAAATAGAGTAAATAGAACCCCCTTCCTCTGAACTGAGGAGGAATGGGCTCTATGGCCCCTATGGAGAGCAGACAGTGGGCCTCTTCCTTCAACAGGGTCTCATGAGATGGGTCCCTGAAGAGGGACAGGGTTGGTGGATTTGTGGGTGATATGGTAGTGAAGAGGATGGTGAGATTGAAAACCACCAGTTGTAATACCCAGCAGTCCGATGTAATGGCTGCCCATTGATCTTGAAAAGGTCAAAGTCCATGGTGGAAAAGGTGAGCAAGGAGTTGTTCAGTCACCGTAAGGATTTCTTGCATGCTCTTGACCGAACCATCAAACTTGCTCTTTGGGGTTTTGCTGGTTGGTCATATGGGATGGTTGAGGTCATCTATGTTGCAGGCGTTGTCTTGCATGCAACTGGTCTATGGTGCGCTGTCGTCGTCTTTTACAGGGGTAATTGTACCTCTTCTGGTATGGGTAGTATCTGTTGTGCCGAAAAGAGTGTGTGTACATCCCCAGGGCACGGAGCGTAGACTGGGTATCTTTTCCGGAGTGGAGGACCTCGTCTGTCTTTTCTGCGAACAACTTGTTTTTGTCAAAAGGGAGGTCTTCCGCAGCAGTTCCAAAGGAGCTTCACACAAAAGTGGAAGTAAGCCAAGATGAGCGCCTCATGGCTATTGCAGTTGCAGTGGTGCGGGCTGCTGTGTCTGCCACATCCTGCAAAATCTGCAAACTCGCTCTTGCTGCTGTAAACACATCCTACACTAGGGACTTTAAGAGGGGGTGTTTGCTTTCTGGTAGATATTGAAGAAGCTGCAATATTTTTTCATAATTGTCGAAGTTCTGGTTCGATAGCAAGGCAGCATAATTAGAAATACGTAGGAGAAGGTTCGCTTAGGAGTACGCTTTCCTGCCAAATATATCTAGCTTTTTGACATCTAGTGTTGTCTTATACTGCAGTGTTTTGGCCTACTGTTGTGCTGCATCTACCACCTGCGAATTCGGGTGTGGGTGGTTAAAGAGGAATTCTAGATTCTAGGAAAGGACAAAATATTTCTTGTCCACTCTCCTGCAGGTTGGTGGCACTGAAGCTGGTGTCTGCCAGATGATATCTGATGCTTCCATAATGGCTTCATCAATAGGGAGGGCAACTTTCACGCTCTGCTTGGGTGTAAATTTTTCAGCAGTCGACGCTGTTTCGTTTGTGCTTCTGTCAGGTGGATTTTTTGGGACTAGGCCACATGCTTGAATAGGTCCTGGAACTGCTTGAAATCGTCTGGTGGGGACGTGTCCAGTGGGAAAACTGCCTCGTGTCAAAAAGGGTGAACAGTCAGAAATGCTGACTGTTGGTCCTCTGCTTCAGACAACTGCCCGTCTTCCAGGTCCAAGTGTTGTGTTGTAGCCCCCGGACTGCATATTGAAGTCAGATGACAACCATGGTGTTGCTGTGGCAGAGTGTGCCCTGCTGACAGTGGATTGTTGCATGAGGGTTGTTGATGCCCAGGGCGATGGGAATGTGAACATGAGAAGTACAGAGACTTATGGCAGTGCTAATAATATCGATCCGATGGGTGAGGTGACGAACACCTGGATGATCTACCACTGGTATATCGCCTTTTGTGTCTGACACACAGAGAATAGTGATAGCGTGGTGACCATCTATAGTGATAGCGTGGTGGAGAGTAGGAATAGTGATAGCGTGGTGGAGAGTAGGAATAGTGCCTGTAATAGTCTCTGTACCGCGAGTGCCCATATGGGGAATATTGTCTATGATAGAACTGGTGCCTTGGGCTGTGGTGCTGATAGGTATGGTGCAGAGGTGAGGCATACATTGGAGGAGGAGGAGGAGAAGGAGAAGGACCTGGTGAAAATCTTTGATACGGGGAGTGGGGAGTCCCCTGTCTCCGTGTTTTAACTGGTGCCTTTGCTGGAGGCTCTGGCATGACTCATCGTCGGCTCCGGCACAGGTGTTTCAGTCAGCTGCAGCACTGTTGTATTTGCTGGTGCCGCTTGTGAGTTGGGAGTAGTCCGTGGTGCCGGCATCAGTGCTTCTTGTGCTGCTGGTGCTGGGAGATTTCCCTCCAGTGCCGCCTGTGCAGGTATCTGCTGCTCTGGCGCCGCTTGCAGAGTTAAACGATGCAGTGCTGGCACCTTTGTAGTACAGGCACTGCTTGTCGGTGCTGAATAGGATCTATCGGATGCCGCAGCCTTCCTCACTTTAGTCCCCAACCTAGGTGCTGAGGGTCACGGGACAGAGCAAGAGAGTCCTGGTTTATCTCTCCCCGTTCTCTGAGGTGGAGCAATCTGGCAGGGGAGATCTTTTTTCTTTTTTCTGCCAGCAGTTCATTTCAGCCAGCAGTTCAGGGGAAAGAATTCTCCTCTTCTGGGTTCCCCCCATACTGTTCAGCATTCACAACATTGGGGTGCAGCGCCTTGTCCAGGAGAAGCGTTTTGAGGTGCATTTCCCTGTCTCGGAAAGTGTGGGCTGTCATCTTTGAGCAGTGCCTGCATTTATGGGGGATGTGGTTCTCCCCTAAACAGCGCATACACGCTGAATGCCCATCTGAAACTGGCATGGGCTCACTGCATTGGGCACACTTTTTAAAACCTGGAGATCCAGGCATGACTGGGTTAAATCTTTTCTTCTTAAAGAAAAACTTGTTTGTTAATCCCCTGCGGCTGAGCTGTTAAAAGTCAGTGATAGCCGCGGGACTAACAAGACTCTTTCCTTCCTTTTTGTTTTTTTAGATGAGAGGAACGGTGAACTAAAGGGTCTAACTATTTACAATTAACTAATTAAAGATCCCTTGAGGGGAAGGAGAACTGCTGAAAGGATGAGAGAGATTGAAGCTCGTCTGCAGCCAGGGACGGCTGAGAGGAACTGACAGGTAAGCCAGGTGCGGGCGAAGATCAAAGAGTGAACGGCGTGTGCTGTACACCGCGCAGGCACAACCCGGCTGAAAACAGCTATGCAAAGCCTCCGAGCTGCGGCACCGGGACGACCCCGACACCACGAGTGGAGCACCCATGGGGACCACTCGAAGAAGAACTATTCAATTACACACTAACACACACCCTAGGCCCCACCCCATAGCCTTTATCTCTAGTTGGAACCTTCACATCCCAGGCACCCCAACCATCTATCCCAGCTCTAAGCTCTCATCCATGGTTCCATCCCAGAGCCCACAACCGTAGCAAGAGCCCTCAGCCTTGCTTTCTAACTCCTCTACACTAGGCGTGAGCCTCCTCTCAAACTACAAACTCCTTCACACCACCCCCACTACATTAATTTCATTATGTGTCCAATATGAAGGTGATGTGGTGCACATCACCTCTATACTGGTTCACATAAAAATTCATTTCACTCGGTGGAAAAAATTAGAGAGAACACTGCTGCTGACCACTGTATGCTTTTTAGGCACACGAAGGGAGGATTTCAGTCTCCAGCATTATCAATTCATTTTAAAGAAGTCCTAAACCCACATAAAAATCTCTTTAGGATACATCGCTGAAACCCACTGAGTGGTGGAAGCACTGACAAAAAAACAGGAAAGACTCCACATTGCCATCGCAATAGGTGTTCTCTGTGTGAAGTTGGAGAGCGATAGCATCACCCAATCACGGACCATTGATGACTGTCCAGTGGTATGTAGTGTCTGAAAAACCTGCAAAAATTATAATAAGTCTTTCACATGGGAGAAAACATGTTAGAACACTAAGGACCAGATATCACACACAGTAGCGATGCTAAATTTAAATTAATTAATGAATCAAATAGTCAATGGGATTTCCATCAACTATTCGATTAGTCTATAAGGGCGCCTCTTCCTTTGAACTGTAGCAAGAGCCCTGCTGAGCTCCTGCCACCATTCAAAAGTGGAAGCCCTGCAGTAAGTGTAAGGCCAACAGGTAACTCCCCCAGTGACCCCACGCTCCCTGCTGGGCTTCTGCTTTTGAAATGTACAAGAGCCCTGCTGGGGCTCTGCAAAGGGCTCTGCCCTTCTTATGAGTGCCCCTCGGAGACTGAGGGGAATCTTGTAGTCTCTAGTTGACTGTCTGTGGAGAGGAAGTGTCCAGTATATGGCCTGGGACCAGGCCTCTTCTTTTACCTCCTGGTGTGGTTGCTGGGGGTTGGGCAGGGACCCAGGCCTGCCCACTTCTCTGGGTCCCGTCTCAGGGACCCTATAAGTAGCAGTTACTTGCTGCGTCTCAAAGTAATTGCTTACAGTCATGTCCCTGGGCCACTTCCCCAGGAAGCTGCTCCATCCAGCCCTTTCTTTAGGGCCTTGTACTCAAGTTCCCTGTCTGGGGTTCTGCAAGGGTTGCCGTTGGCTTCTCAGCTAATCTTTAGCCCCAGGACCTGATTCCGACCAGGTATGAAGGACAGCTCTCACACGGAGCTGTCCAGCATGCTGATGTTTTGTGAGTCAGCCCTGAGGTCTACCTGGGTCAAGCTCCAGGAAGGAATTGCCAAGCCCTGGTCTAGCAGCTTCTTTTATATCAGCCTGCTGCACCCTAATTGGCTGCAGCAAAGGCTGCCACTTTGTTCTGTTTGGAGGACCTCTCTTCTGCTCCTGTTGCTGGGTAGGGTACGGAAAGGCCTCCAGCAGGGATGTGGGGGCCTTGTCCAACCCATCGCAGGTTCTTGTACATTTCAAAAGCAGAACTGCAGCAGAAGCAGTGAGCAGAGACTGCTTCAGTACCCACCCACCCCATTTCTGCTGTGCCTCTACCTCCCCTGCCCCCTGTGGAGACAGTGCTGAGGATAACCAGCTTGTAAGCCGTCACCCCCCCGCTTCCACTTTCTGAAAGATGTAGCAAGGGAGGGGGGAAGTGACTAGTTGCATCACTGGTTGACTAGGCGCTTACATTCCTAACACACACTGCAAACATGTAAACCCAGACAAACCTTCTACTATGCCAAACCTTTAAAACATTTTGCCCACTAAGATGGGTGATTCAAATAAAATGTATTTATTAAATCTTTAAGATATTAAATTTGTCAGTCAGGTTTTAGTAGTTGGGCTCTGAGTCAAATATATTCATTATATACATGAGATTTCCTACAAAATTCCATGAGAGTATACTATGGCAGATAGCTGTATCTAAATATAATCAAAATTGCACAGGCAACATCTGGGCCTTCAAATAATTTGTGAGTGATTAACTTGTACTTCAGATGTTGGGGAAATCAGAACTGAAGAGATTGGCATATTCAATCCAAGAGATTGGCCAAGATGGCATATCCAGACTAGCATTATAATGAGGAAACTATTCTTCCCAATCTGTCATAAATGTGTTCTGAAGAATCATTACGACATGGTTATGCGTGCAGGATGAGAAGAGGGAGAGGAATCTCAGAACACTGCTTACCATAGGACACTTAGGGACTAATTTAGGTAACGGAAGGTAAATTAGCTAAGGGATGATCCCCTAAGCTACATTACATTACCTTATCCCTCCCGCCTAAACTATATTACATTAGGTAATGTAAACTACTCTTCTGCACCTCAGTCCCCTACCCTAAGTGCCCTTCTGCACCCAACCTCCGTCCCAGACTCGCACTCAGTCCATAGAAAAGTGCCAACCTTGAACCACTTATTAAAATCTTGGAGTGGCCCCCCACCAAAAATTATTACCAACTCCTATTCTATACTATGCCTGATCTTTAATTAAGACAGAGGAGGTGCCTGAGGTCAAGATGTTGTCTTTGTGGGGTACATCAGAAAAAAGGAAGCCTAAGGAGAAATTAAGGCAAGGGGATTCAGCACTGGGTCACCAGTGCCAGTTTTTCTGCTTAAACAATGCTGAAAGAAAGCTGGTGTAGACTAGCTTGATCATATGGTCATCTGAGACAAAGCTGATTCTCTATCATGAACAGGCCTCTTACTTTATTCAGCTGTATGTCACAAACGGAATTTTCAAATGTCAGTAGGGGATATCTTCAGAAGTAGAGTGGTATAAAATTATTTTGCCAGATTATGCACTTGAATAACACCAGAAATTGCATGTATGCCTTGAATTCCAGTTACTTACTTAAAAGAATGAACAGCCTTGCACTAAAAGTATATTTATGAAACTCAATTTAAAAATACATTACCTTATAAACTACTGTGGCCATGAACTGTGGGTATGGCTGCTGGTTAGATAGAAATTCTCCAATAACTTTGTTCATTACATCTTGTGGAGGGAAAAAGTCATCTAGGAACTGAGGGAGGATCCGTGCCACTACTCTAGCTTCAAAAGGAAATCCTTTCCGGATCCTAAGACAAAAAAGAGAATGCATATATTTAACCATTGTAATTCAGGAGAATGTTCATGATTTAGTCCCTATGAATGTTTCCCTATGAATGTTTTTCACATTTTTCTGGAGCCAAGCAGGAACATAGAGATGTTTTTCTTTTATATATAGATAGACATGCACTGAGATCTAACCCTTATCCAACTGACAATCCAAGAGTTCTTCCACAGATGTACAATATTTAGCTTTTGACTTAATTTTTTTTAAATGGAAATAAGTAAAGCTCTAGAAAAAACAACTCTACACTTGAGTGCGCTACAGTATGTCTCATGTGCATCTCAGAACAGTCTGAAAACTTCATAGAGTAGAAATACTACAAAGGTGGTATCTGTGTGTAGGGGAGTGCATTAGTAAAGGTTTTCATTCTCATCCCTAACATTTCTGCTTGCTGAACAACAGGGAAGTAACAAGAAGAATGTTATGGTAGGGATGGAGAGAAACACCGCTAGAGGAAATGAAGCTAATTTTATTTAAAAGATATTTTAATGAGGTACCACTGACTGGAGTGCTTTCCTGCATCTGTTGATGCTTACAGATCAAGCTCATTCTTGGGAAAAGTGCATATGCACTACCATACAACTGATTTCCTCTGCTATGGAATGCTCTCTGCTTCATGAGCACAAATTTTGTGAGTGTTCAGTAATGACTTTCAAGATTGACTTATGAAGTCTTAAAAGACAGTGGTTTCTAGAGCATTTAGTGTTGGTATAACTGTTCCCACTGAAGTTAATGGGAGCAGATAAATCATTGCCAAATGTTTCTGACCAATCTGACACTTTGTGCTACCACACCTACTGTATCTGGAGGTCGTCAGGTTAGAGCACGAGTTCTTGTGTCTTCCACCGTATGGAGCATATTTTAATACAAATATTGTATTGTGGACCTTCCCAGTAATGAATGCTTAACATCCTGGTGACAATTACAGAAACTGATTGCATTAAAAAAAAAAAGACAAATTTAAAATACACTGAAATATACTACTTTTTTTGGGGGGGGAAGGGTCTATGCTCTGTTTCTGTATATTACAAGGAATTCTGAAAGAGGTTTTACTATGCTTTTTATTTAAACACACTGAGGCACTTTGGAGGTATTAACAAAAACTGACTTTCAATGGGATTTAGGAGCCCTAAATCACTTCTAAGAATAGTACTCGAGGACTATCCTGTAGTGAGTGATGGATATTGGAAATTAAAAAGGGAAAGACTCATTTTATTCTTAAACCAGTAAAAGCTGTAGATACTGGTAGATACAGTATCTGGAGTAGATACAAATAGCTGACAGGAAGTAGGGGGTGGGGAAAGGTGATATGGAGAGGAATAATCTGAATTACATCTTCAGCATTCTTGACCCAAGATCACCCCTTCAAAATCTAGGAGTCAATTTTAGACGTACCTGAATGGGATGTAGAATGGGTCTTTTAGACAAAAGGCCACATTTCAGAAAGATAAGGATCACGTACAGACATTTCCAACAAGTATTAATGCCATTGTCATCTTGACCTATTTGATGCAGGCTGGGTTTTGTCATTATTTTCTGAATTCTGGTCATCAGTAGGAAGGCATAGAATACTAGGACTGGAAGGGACCTCGAGAGGTCATCAAGTCCAGTCCTCTGCCCCCATGGCGGGACCAAATACTGTCTAGACCATCCCGGATTGACATTTATCTAACCTACTCTTAAATATCTCCAGAGATGTGGATTCCACACCCTCCCTGGGCAATTTATTCCAGTGTTTGACTACCCTGACAGTCAGGAACTTTTTCCTAATATCCCACCTAAACCTCCCTTGCTGCAGTTTAAGCCCATTGCTTCTTGTTCTATCCTCAGAGGCCAAGATGAACAAGTTTTCTCCCTCCTCCTTATGACACCCTTTTAGATACCTGAAAACTGTCCCCCATCAGTCTTCTCTTTTCTAAACTAAACAAACCCACTTCTTTCAGCCTTCCCTCATAGGTCATGTTCTCTAGACATTTAATCATTCTTGCTCTTCTCCGGACCTTCTCCAGTTTCTCCACATCTTTCTTGAAACGGTGCCCAGAACTGGACACAATATTCCAACTGAGGCCTAACCAGCACAGAGTAGAGCGGAAGAATGACTTCTCGTGTCTTGCTCACAACACACCTGTTAATGTCAGGATCCTTATCCCTCAATACAAAGTTGGGAACTTTTGACACCGCTTTGTTGGTGAACTCCTGCTTTTAGAACACTAGAAGATTGAGTGAGATTATAAACTGAAAACTTAAGGGGATCACAACTGAATAATTTCCTACCTGTTTAACAAGTCTACCTT